GTGAAATAAATTGACGAATGTTAGACCAACAACAAAATATTTGTTTTTCTATTTCCCTTTTTATTTTAAATGTTTTTATTATGAAATGTTGATTTATAAAATTAACGACAATAATTAAAATAAACATATCTTCCATTTTTTTCAGTTAATCAAAGCATGATTTTTTAAAAAATCAACTAATATGTGATTTAATTATCTTTGAAGAAACACACAAAGCTCAACTCTAGTTAAATTTTATATATTCTTTGCAGCACACTATTTGAAATTATTTATATACAAACTCTTTTCCATCTAAACTTAAATTTGTGGGAAAATTCAAACTTTGATAATTGTTGACAAAATCATCATTTGCAAGTTTGAGTATATAATCCTAATCAAATTATTGTTAAAAAACATTAATAATAGGCACTTTGGGCTACAATATAAAAAGAATAGTAAGCCCATGTCCACAATACAATCTTTTTGTCCACTCAGAACATTCCACGTTGGTACACTAGTGGGCCCAGCATGAAAATACGCTGCACGCGCCTGTCACCGCGCGTGAGATATGATGCTTCTTTTATTGACAGCCACCATCGAAAGACAAAAACGCTAAAGAGAGAGAGAGAGCGATAACTCCGGTTCGAGGATCCCGATTTACCCGCCGGTATTCGGTGGAAAGATACCTTCGAACGTTCTTCGCTTCTCGAGTCTTCTTCTCTATTCCGATTCTTATCTCCTTTGGGTTTTGGGTTTTTCATGAATTTTTAGGTGAGAATTTCGATTCTGGAATTTGATCATCTCTAGGTAAATTGGCGATTTCTTTGGTGATTGGTGGATTCTGATTCGATTTTTTTTAGTTTATAGGTTTTTAGATATTTTGGTTGGAACCCTCACAGCGATTTTTAGATTCTGGTTTTCCAATTTTCTTAAATTGTTTGAAATTTTTGTGAAAGTGAAGACCTTTAACTGATTCTGTCTGTGATTTGGAGACTCTGTTTACTTGTTGGAGCAGATGCAGGAGTTGTGTTGTCTGCTTACATTCTGAAATGATGATGCAGATTCTTATGTAACTTAATTCACTCACACATATGGCTTTGATTTTTTTGGTTTTGTAGAAGAACAATGGAGACTCGCCCGTTGAGGTCGATTCCAAGGGAGCTGAGTAGTAACCTTGCACACACTTCTTCAATACCATCTTTACCAAACCACTCAGTAGCATCAGACATTTCCTTCAATTCGGAACACAATCATCAGCTCATGTCGAGGCCGTATCATTTGCTCTCTGCTAACGGTGGATCAGTTGGTCATATCTATTCAAATGATCTCCATAACAACACTTCCATGGTGTCTAATGAGAAACACATTGCAAGCAGTAACAACACACCTTTCATCTCTGAGACATTAGCTTGGAGCCCAGCTACACTCTCTGATCTTCTTGAGTTTCCTTTGGATTCACCTATCCGAAGCAGTCAAATGCATGATGGTGGCATTGTGGCTACTGATGACATTCAAAAACAAAGTGACTGGACAGCATTGGCATTGGATGAGGAATTGATCACTGATGAGAATCCTCTATTGTCTTCTGACTGGAACGATCTTTTCCTTGACACAACTTCCGACTCAGCTTCGAAGGTGTTTATGCTGTTCTCTTGCGGCAAATATTGTGTTTCTCTAGTCTCCAACCATCGTATTTTACAACAGTACAACACTGTCCCATGTTTTACAATGATATTGTTTCAGGTCCAAAAACCAACTATGCAATCACAGATTCAACAACCCCAAGTTGTTCTGCAGCAGCCATCTCCTTGTGTGGAGTTGCGACCTATTGCTAGAACAGTATCCTCAAACAGCAACAACAACAGTTGCAACAGTAATAATAATGCGGCAGCTAAGGGACGTATGCGTTGGACACCAGAGCTTCACGAGGCTTTTGTTGAGGCTGTTAACCAGCTTGGCGGCAGTGAAAGTGAGCATCTCTCTCTCTCTCTCCGCTTCTTGTTTTTAATATCCTCGACTTTGAATACAGTTAACAGTGATGAAGATCGGTTTGTGCTAATTCAATCTCTTATTTTACACAGAAGCAACTCCCAAGGGTGTGTTGAAGCATATGAAAGTTGAAGGATTGACTATATATCATGTTAAAAGTCATTTGCAGGTTTACTTTTCTTTCTTCCTAGAATTTGTTTCACACTAATTCCATGGAACAAGTCTGTTGATAAAAGCCGACAAGTTTTCTGTTTTAAATTGCAGAAATATAGGACAGCTAGATATATACCAGAACCATCAGAAGGTAGATACTGACTCCCCTCTTTTATGATGAGTTTTCAGATGCTTCTATCTTTCTTATGATAAAGAAAGTATCATATGGTGTTAGCTAATGTATTACAAATTCGATCACCTCTTGGCGATCTATATTACTCTGCTTTTATCTTGATATGTAGTTCAATGGCTCTCGACATTGTTCGTGTGCTTATATTTTCTAATTTTCTAGAGTAACAACCCGTTTCCAGTACTCGTTTAGCTTTAGTTACAGTCTGCGCATATCGTTTATGTTGGATTTTCCAGATATTTCGACTTTAATATTATTTTCTCTGATGATTTTAGCAGGTCCGTCAGAGACGAAGTTGACACCGATTGAGCAAATTACATCTCTTGATACGAAACGGTGGGATTTGGTTAAGATGACAATTGACAAGTGATGCACCATTTTTAAACCAGATTCTGTCTTACAAATTGTCATTGATTTTGCAGTGGGATTGATATCACTGAGGCTCTGCGACTTCAAATGGAAGTTCAGAAGCAACTGCATGAGCAGCTCGAGGTACAGTGATGATGATCATTTGTCTTTTAGCTTTAACTGTGTGATCTGTTTGTATTCTTGGCGAATCCTTGAAGTTACAAAAACTCTTAAAAATGGGGTTTCTTGGTGTGCTTTCAGATTCAAAGAAACATGCAACTCCGGATAGAAGAACAAGGAAAGGCCTTGCTGATGATGTTTGAGAAGCAAAATATGGGTTTTGGCAAACCGGAACAAGAAGACGAAACAAGTGCGAAAACGCCTGAAAACGGTACAGAGGAATCAGATTCCCCGCGATCAAAGCGTCCGAGAATCGAATGAAGAAAAAGGTCTCTCGGGATGATAGATCATAAAAACAGTGTTTTGGTGAAGTTGTAGAGTTTGACTTATTAGAGTAAGAG